GGCTTTTTTTGTTTGTTTTGTTTTGTTTTTTGAGAGAGAGGGGGAGCAAGAGTGCAAATGGGGGAGGGACAGAGGAAGAGGAAGAGAAAGAGAAGTCTCAAGAAGGCTCCGTACCCAACGGAGCCAATGAGGGACTCCATCCCATGACCGTGATATCATGACCTGAGCCAAAATCAAGAGTTGGACACTTAACAGACTAAGTCACCCAGGCACCCCTAGCTTCATGTTTTGATTGGATTCCTTATCCTCTGTTACAGCTCCAGGTTTTCTATTGCTCCCAGAATCACTTCTTTACGCGTTCTGGTTGACATGTTTATGAATGTCACAAGGTAATTTTCTTGCTGCCAATTCTTGGTCTTTTAATGTATTCCTTTGCTTTCCTTTCTAAGAGATGCTTCAGCTTCTTCTCAAATATTCCCTTTTCTTCTCATTTTCCTGGTAGTGTCAGCATCTGCATTAAATCAATGTCTTGTCTGTGTTTGTTTAGATCTGTCTTTCCAGAGATTTCTCTGGGACTATCTCTTTTCATGGAGTGAGAGGCTATTTCTTTGCCATGCAGGAAATCTCATCAGTAGGTCAGGAAAGACCAGCATTCAGGCATAGTCATCAGGAAGAGTGTTCCCTCTCCAATACACACACACACACACACACACATACATGCACACAAACACACACTAAAATGAGCTCTGTTTATGCTAATTACCATTTATGCATTTTTAAAAGCTACTTGAGATTGGCAGAAAGTTCCTCTCAGCACCTTCCCTTTTTATTCCTGTACTGCATCCTCAGGCTGCCCTGAGGTTTGGAATGTCAGCAGATGGGAGGGATGGAACAGACATGCTTAAGTAGAAGAGGTGAAGCAGGAGGAAGACATGTTTGTTTCATCATCTCGGTAGAATGTTGTTACAGCTTGGGCTGGGATAAGGTTATGATCTTATTCCTTGGGGTAGAGCTATAGATTTTAGCCTTAGCTGCTTTTCCTAAAAGCATGTTCTACTCTCACCTCTTCTTTCTATGATTTTGAAAGTGCAACTGGTCAAGAAGAACCAATGGCACAAATGTGCCATATATCAACACACACTGACTCTTGCTCTCACAAAAAAAGTCAGTTAGGAGAGGGAGATCTTGGAGACAGGATCTTAATAGAAGATCTGGACTATGGTTTCCATCTGCTATTTTCTAGCCATCTGGCAACCTCTCCTGCCCTCCTGTGCATAATCATCTAAAGGCAGAAGGCTGGCTTGGGCTTCACAAGGTCCCTTCTATCTCTAATACCTATTATCCAAGCTCTTAGTTTAGTTAATCTGTTGATGCCCTTATCTTACCCCCAAAAAGACAGAAGTAGAAATAAGTGATTACTAGGTGCCATGAAGTGAAGTGGATCATATTAATGGAAAAGCTGCTGTAAGTCAAATGGTATAGATCAAATCAGATGACCCTCTAAACCTTGGGATTCCTTGAGTATATTTTTAGTTAGAAACAATAATGTAATAGTGGTGACATGAGACCATGTAAAATGTGCTCAGCACAGTGTTTAGAACATAGTCAGGCACCAAGAAATGAGAGTTTCTAATAAAAAAAATAATGATTTTGTTGTTAACTTTTTATAGAAAATTCCTCACATGATGTACATAGGCAGGTATATAATCTATCTTTGGTATCCACTGAGCAAACAGGTATATATTTTTTAATTTAATATTATATGTTATCTCTATGAAATATGCCTTACTTCAGTACCTCATAATTATAGTCTAATTTTACTGCAGCAAATAAAAAGTTTAGGGACATGTTTGCTCAGAAGACAGGATGGTCTTTCCCGTTAGGCATACCTATCATCTGCAGGTGTAAGCTACACAGCATTAAAATAATTGTCCTGCATTTTGTCACAAGAACACTGTTGTTCTCACTTTTAAAACAAAATTCAAGGGGTGCATGTGTGGCTCAGTCTGTTAAGCATCTGACTCTTGGCCTCAGCTCAGGTCTTGATCTCAAGGTTGTAAGTTCCAGCTCCACAATGGGCTCCATGCTGGGCTTGGAGCCGACTTAAAAAAAATAAATTAAAAAAAAAGAAAAAGAAATAAAACAAACTTCAAGTATATCAATAAAATAATGATACTTCTATATACTCACTTCTTAATGCATTGATAGAATTCTTCTTTCTAAATTTTAAAAATCAGTTTATTACTAATAAAGCAACAATCACATTCCAGAGCATTCTTTCCCCCTCTGTCCCCATTAGCCCTCTTTTTCCTTGGCCACACCAAAGGACTGCCATGCAGGGTTGTGCTAGCACAGAGATACTGGGGAGAGGAGCTGATGGATCAGGTTAAGAGGGGGAGACGTCATTTATATGTCTCCCATGTAACTGTAATGGGGTTTAATTGTGTGTGACAGGCTGGATGCAAAATTCCAGGAAACTGAGAATTTTCCCTAGTGAAAACAGTGAAGAATGACAAGCTGGGTTGGCCTGAATCAGTAATAGAAACTCCAAGGCATAACTTGACATGATGAGGTTTAGCTGAAAACTGTTTGAAAACAGTCTGGAAAGTGTCTCCTAGGTTGTCATTAGGAAAGAAACAGCCCTGAATAAAACCAATTCTCAGAAGAGTCTTATCCTACATAGATGTGCTCAACCACATGGCTGTCTTTCCACCCTACACATACACTCAACCCAGAGATGGTAGTGACTGTCAAAAGTCAGGTCCTGATAATGGAGTATGGAATATGTGTGTAGATGATATATAGAGTATGTTGGTGGAACTGAAAACAAGATTTATGAGACTTCAAATGAAATCTAATGCATGTTACTTAAATCCTATTCATAATTTTAGTTCCTAACAATTATATAAATTCTGCATTCTATAGAGCATTTCCCTATATTATCTTCCTTAATCCTTAAAACAATCTCATATAGTAGGCAGAGCAAATCATATCATCCTTACAATTGAGATAATGGAAACTCAGTGTGGTTAAGAAAATTACCACAACATCATACAGGTTTTCAGATTTTCTTATAGGTTCGGTAATTTCACCAGAATCTAAGAAACTACAAAGTTTCTAAGTGTTAGCTTTGAGAACTTATGTTAACCTAAAAAACTTACCATAAAACAATGATGTTTAGAAGTCAATGGAGTATTGTAGGTCCATTTCATTTTATTTATTAATTTTTAATTTTTAAAATGTTTATTTATTTATTGAGAGAAAGAGCGCAAACAGGGGAGGGGCAGAGAAAGACATGCACACAGAATCCAAAGCAGGCTCCAGGCTCTGAGCTGTCAGCACAGAGCATGATGCCAGGCTCAAACCCACAAACCATGAGATCATGACCTGAGCCCAAGGTGGATGCTTAACTGACTGAGCCACCCAGGAGCCCCTCATTTTATTTTTTAACTTTATGTATTTATTTTGAGGAGGGGGGAAAGGCAGAGAGAGAGGGAGAGGGAGAGAATCCCAAGCATGTTCCACACTGTCAGGGCAGAGCCCAACATGGGGCTCAAACCCATGAACCATGAGATTGTGACCTGAGCTGAAGTTGGATGCTTAACCTACTTAACCACCCAAGTGCCTCATCTCATTTTAAACAGAGTAGGTGAGATTCCATATTTCCAGAAAAAAGAAAATGGGGTTGAGTGGGAATTATTTACTTTATAAAGGAAATCTTAATTTATCAAAAGAATGTGATATGACTAGTTTAAATAACAAGTAATTCCTTTAAATGTACACTAGAATATTTTAAAATTCCTTTATTGATATATGTGTACTGATACATTTTAGGTGATCAAATTTATTGTAAGTAAGCAAACTACCACATATAAAGAATTCCTATAAATCAATAAGAAAAAGCAAACAAAATTAAAATGGACAAAATGTATTGCCAGTTGAGTAATAGAAGATAAAGCCCAAAAGGTCAACAAACACCTGCTTAAGAAGGAATGTTAGTTCCTACCTTCTTCCCTTCTTCCTGGACACATGGTTGTCCAGTGAAGGACTACATTTCCCAGCATCCTGCTAAGGATGCACCTCTATAAAACTAAGTAGGGCCAGTGGAATGTGAGTGGAAGGGATGTGTGCAGCTTCTGCCTTATTTGCCTATGAACAATGTTTTTCCAAAAATTCTCTAATCTTTTCTCAAAAGTTGGTATGTGGCAATAAGCTAACTATAACCATGAAGACAAGGATGATGACCTACAGGATAGTAGTGTAACAAAAGGAAAGATCCTTGAATAACTGTGGAGTCAAGCCACCTCACCAGCCTGGACTACCCAACATAAGATTGTTATACAAGAGAGAAATGTCCTTTTTAAAAACTACTATATCTGTGTGGCCTATGTGTTACAGTAGCTTAGCCTTCACCCTAATATAATGTTCAAACTAACTAGTAATCCATGAAGTGCCAGTTAGAACCAAGTTCTTTTTCATACCCTAAGGTTGATGACATTTAAAAATCCCTGTGATACTCTAAATTGGCAATATGAAAATAAGAAATACTCATATATGAAAATATGAAATATTTTCAATATGAAAATAAGAAATACTCATATATTTCTACCTGAAGTATGAATTGGTACAACAACTTAGGGAATAATTTGTAGTATTTGTCAATATAACTAATGTAGAAAATTACCATCCCCTACAATTCATTTGTTTTAATTCTGACCATTGTAATTTTACATACTGAGATATATCTAGAGCAGTTACAACATCACTTGTATTACCAAAATTTGAAAGCAACTTAAAAGTCTATTAATAAGAGGATGGATAAATAAGTTGTGGTATTTTCAAATAACTGAGCACAATCAGCAGTTATAAAAAATGAACCACCTCTATATGTAACAATATGAATAAACTTCATAAACATAATGTGAGAGAAAAGGAAGATGAAGAATACGTATAATATGATAGTAGTAGGTAAAATTCAAAATATGAAAAGCATAATTATTGCTTTGACTACATATATATTGTAATAAAGTTATGAAAATGCAGTCTGGAAGAATACATACCAGATTCTTCATAGTGGTGTCTCTGGGGAAGGAAGACAAGGAGGTGGATCTGTGAAGACAAACAAGGAGGACTTCAACATTGTTCACAATGTTTTATTTCCTTTGTGGAAAATGTCATGAAAAATTGTTAATATTTGTAATTATGGCTATTGGGGTACAATCAGTGGTGTGCTGGATCTGGATCACACAGGGAGAGTGAATTTTGTGCATCTCTCCCCAACTCCCTTTTCAAGGATGTCACACGATGGCTTGAATTGGCCACAGGGGAAGTACTTACATCACAGAAATCAGCAAATGGTACAAAGCAGAAGTTTTTTATTCTTCCGGAGAGTCAGTTAACCTTGACTAGCACACTTCTGGGTACAATGTATCTATTAAATTAATCTTACTACTTTTAATAATTTTTAAAATGTTCAAAATATAAAAAATTATAGTTCTAGCTTTAACTTTTCAGGATTTTTTCTTTCTTTTTCATTTTCTTTCTTTTTTTTTTTTCTTTTGCACAAAACATCCTGCATATGTGTCTTGCTGGGGGTTGGGAGAAATTTTGGACTTTCTACTTACTGCACAATTTCAAGAGCAACTGTCTTCAAATCATATATGACATCCCTATGTGGTAAGAAACTTCCTGTCTCTTCTCAAAGAAGATGGCGTCTTTCATAACTGCCAGAATGCCTACACTTATCTCATGAAATTTTAGTTGTTGAACCACAGTTTTGACCTCTACTTGTATAAAGATAAATCCTGATTAAAAATGGTTATGATATTGCCTTGAAAGTCTATATGGTTTCAACAACCTCTGCACCCATAATGTAGGGTGTAATGTAATTATGCTTTCTGAACCCCAAATCAGGACATGTGGTCATACAAGTATGGAGGACTGTGGGCAGGATGCTTGACTTCAGTCCTGGCATTAAGATTCTGGGCTTTCAATCACTGCAACCACATTACAGATAACAAAGTCTACTTGTTCCCTATTAATCAGATAAGAGTACTCTGTTAACCTTAATCCTTGAAATAATTATTTTTAAATAACTTCCAATTTTTTATTAAAAAGTAAAATATATTAAGTAAAATATATAAATATAAAAATATATAAATATAAAAGTAAAATATATAATATATAGAAAACATAGTTGTGAAAAGAGAAGTAAATAAAATAAAATCACCCACCCATAATTTCATGACCCAGAGACAACAACTGTTAATAGTTCAATAAATAACTTTTCAGCTTATCTTGTGTGTATATATATTTTTTCTTTTCAAAATAAGATTAAATCATGTACACTGGGTTTTTTTAATTGAGGTCTAGTTGACATACAATGCTACATTATTTTCAGGTGTACAAAATAGTGATTTCACAAGTCTATACTTTATTCTATGCTCACCCTCACCACAAGTGTAGCTACCACTTGTCACCATACAACGTTATTACAATACCATTAACTGTATTCCCTATACTGTACCTTCCTTCCCCATGATTTATTCATTGCCTACATATACACGGCTTTAACTGGCCTTTTCCACATGAGACTCTATCATTAGTTTATTGCCATGTCATTTAATTTTCTTCAGAAGTGTTATTTTTATAACTATAAAGCATTATATAACAATAATCAAATTCATTTTACCCATTCTTCCACTGTTAAATATTTGGATTATCTGCAATTCTTCCATATAATAAGCAATGATGTGATCTTCATCCTAGTAACTCTGCATACACCTCTTTTCCTTTTTTTGGGATAAATCTTTTAAATTTTTAAAAATGTTTTATTTATTTTTGAGAGAGACAGAGACAGAGTATGAGTCAGGGAGGTGCAGCGAGAGAGGGAAACATAGAATACGAAGAAGATTCCAGGCTCTGTCAGCACAGTGGGGCTCTAACTCATGAACCGCGAGATCATGACCTGAGCCAAAGTCGGATGCTTAAATGACTGAGCCACCCAGGTGCCCTGGGACAAATCTTAATCATGTAATTTCTGAGTCAAAAATTAGGAATACTTTTCAAACATTTTCAGTGATTATCTTTATGAAAATTGGTTATCCATGTAGAAACTTTATATCATACACAAAAATACATTTCAAGTGTACTAAAAACAAATGTAAAAAGTAAAACTGTTGATTTCAGAGTAAAATTTATAAAGATACCTTTTATAACACCAGGTTCAAGGATGGGGAAGAGAAAAATACAATCAACAGATGTAACAATAAATACTTTTGAGTATAATAAAATGTAAAACTTTTGTATGACAAAAGACACAATAAAAGACTAAGGACAGACTAGGAGAAAATATCTGCAACCCATAGAATGTAAAGAATTAGGATCCAGAACATAAGAACACTTATAAACCAGTAAGAAAAATATAAGTAATACAATAGAAAAACAGGCAAACAATACGAAAGGCAAGCCATAAAAAAAGGAATCTGAACAGTTAATAAACTTAGGAGATGTGCTCAAATTTACTAGTAATAAACAAAATGTAAATTAAAGTAACAAACTGGATCACATCCATCAGAATAGCAAAAAATTTTAGTCTGACATCAAATTTAACAAGAATGTGATATAAATGGGACTCTCACAAGTTGCCAGTGAGAAAGTAAATTGGTTCAAACATATGGAGGAGCAACTTGGTGATATTTATGAAAGCTCACAATGTTTGCTCTTGGGGTCTACCAGGATGAGTCAAGTCAGGTGCCCAGGGCACGACATTGAAGGAGACATGCACTCTCAGGGTCATATGAGTGCAGGTTAGCACCTGAGAATGAAGTCCTCCTGAAAACTGTGCTCCATGTACTTTGCTTGCCTCACCCTGGTCCCAGCCCTGATGTACATGTCCCAAAAGCCAATACTCCATTTCTAAATATATACTCACCAGTTCATTCACATGTGCTCTAAGAGACACGAACAAGAATTTCATTGCAGCATTGTTCATAAAAGTGAAAATTGGAAACAATCCAAATGTCCAATAATAAAAGAATATACATATATATATAGCATTTTCATTGAATAGTATATTATAAAATAGTTTAAATTAATAGAGTTACATGTATCAACATGGCTAAATCTCATAATAAATCTCAAAAACATAATTTTGAATGAACAAAGTGAGTTGCAGAATGATAAATTTGGTATGATTCACTTACATAAAGCTTGAGACATGCTTTATAATATTATTAATTATTTATAGACACATTCATAGATAGTGTAAGACAAAAAAGTCATCTGAATGATAAACACTAAATTCATATTAGTTCTTTCTGTAAAAAGAGAGGGAGAATTAGGGTCAGAGTAATAAATGTAAAAGGTTTCTTTAACTGTTAAGTTTTTTTTTTGTTGTTTTTTTTTTGTTTTTTGAGAAAGAGTGAGAGTGCTAGTGCAAGCCAGGGAGAGGGATGGGAGAGGGACAGAGAGAGAGAGAGAGAGAGAGAGAGAGAGAATATTAAGCAGGCTCCCTGCTTAAGCAAGGAGCTTGATGTGGGGCTCAGTCCCATGATCCTGGGATCATGACCTGAGCTGAAATCAAGGTCAGACATTCAACCAACTGAGCCACCCAGGCAGACACCCCAAGATTTTTTTTTAAGTATCTGAAGCAAATACAACCAAATGTTAGGACTTCTTAAAGTTGGGTTGTGCACTCCTGGGTGTTCATTAAATTATTTTCCACAGTTGTATGTGTGTTTGGATATTTAATAATTTTTAAAATGACTAAAAATGTTAAAGTTCATATTCACCTCCATAACTAGATGACTTTGGGAAAGTCAATTAACTTTTCCTGAATATCAGTTTATTTGTTCTCTAACATAATTATACAACTATATCCCAAGTCATAGAGTGATAGCCACTGCATTTTCTAATTCCACAGAGATTTTCTTGCTGTGTGTTAAACCTGGCTCAGCTTTTGAACTACTCCTAAGGTCTGGTAGGCTGTACTCATTAAATAGTGGGGCCCAGAATGGGTCCTATGTCATGAGATTCAGAACTGGATATGCCTAGGGTGTTCACTGAACTGTAATTCCATTTTCACCCTATTATCCTCACCTCTCAGGTATTGTGGTCGACACAATGACATACCACCCAAATCTCCTTGAAGGAAGGACTTCTTGCCCACTGCTGGGAGTATGTCAGCAGACAGTCTCTGGTTGCCAGCCCCTCCAGAGATTACTTCAGCTACAAAGAGCCACCTCATTCAAGGTCAAGCCTTTCCCAGGGTAGCGCATATCCAGTGACTAATAGAAGTTGGTACATAACCATCTAACAGTTTTGGCCCAACCCAGGATGACTACAACAGGGGATTTTAGGTTAGCTCCAAAGCTTCCTGTGGGATTGGTTAAGGCTGTTGCAGCTTGACCTCTCCTTCCCTTCCACAGGTACCAAGAGCATTCCCTAATTAATATTCTGTGGGCTAAACTCTGTTTCAAGGTCTGTTTCCTGGAGAATGAAACTTGTGAGGTTGGTATCAGGAGTGGGATGACAAAGGTTATATGGGGTTTTGGAACTGGATTGCTTGCCATCTGGTTAGCAATGAGGAGCTTCTAATCAGTGATAAACTGAGCACAAGTAGTCCCTGGCAAAACTGGCTATCTACAGTGGATTGAATAGTGTTCTCCCCCACCATCCATATTCATGTCCATCCAGAACCGCAGAAGATGACCTTATCTGGAAATAGGGTCTTTGACTTTATTATACCATACACAAAAATAAATTCAAAATGGATTAAATACTTAAATGTGTGACAGGAAACCATCAAAATACTAGAGGAGAACACAGGCAGCCACCTCTTTGACATCAGCCATAGCAACCTCTTACTAGATATGTCTCCTGAGGCAAGGGAAATAAAAGCAAAAATAAACTATTGGGACATCATCAAAATAAAAGCCTTCTGCCCAGCAGAGGAAACAGTCCACAAAACTAAACGACAGCCTGTGGAGTGGGAGAAAATATTTGCAAATGACATATCTGATATAAGGCTGATATCCAAAATCTATAAAGAACTTATTAAACTCAACACCCAAAAAACAAAAATCCAATTTAAAAATGGGAAGAAGACA